ATATAGCAATGAATAAGGTTTCTTGGTAGATGCAAAGCACGAGAATACTAAGATACCTAAGTTGGATTTTTATTGGCTTTGATGATGCTTGAGGGAGAGCAGAAATTGAATGGGAATGAGGAGATAATAACTAGGTTACAGGGAGGGAGGAAGTCTTGGCTGATGAGTTTTTTAAGAATTGAATTTCCCTGGGTCTTTTTTGGTGGATTGATGATGTACATATGTAGGATCAGTAGTTAGTAAATAAAGTTGGTTATTTGCATATATATCACTTGAATTATGGATATTTACAAAAGTACCCTACAAATCTTAGTATTTGCAAAACTATCCCTAAAATCATCAACTTTGTTAAAAAAAACTCCTAAAATCAACAAATCATCAACTTGGTGCTAAAAATTTGACTATTTTGTTGATAATTTTTATGTTGCGGTTACAATTAAGTTTATTAATGTTGAGGACTAATTGCTTTGAATGTAATTTTTTTCCAAAATTGATGTTTTGAGGGGTAGTATTGAGATTTAGAGGATATTTTTGCAAATATCCATGATTTAAGGAGTATATATGCAAAAAACTTATTCAAATATAATATATTACTAAATTTTATTAATAGTTATACTATAATTTAATGATCAATAAAATAAATAGAATAAATATTTAATCACATAAATAGTATAATTATTTTAATAATATCACATAAAGTATGAATTACACTATTTAGTTAGTATTATATTATTACATAAATTGAATAAATAATTTAATATTACTTTTTGAGTATTTTCTCAAAGATTATTACATGAATAATATATACTTGGTAATTATTAAAAACTAACCTTTCAAAAAAATTATTTGATATTCATAATAGTACTATAATTGTTAATGATAGTATAATATAAATTTATAAAATATTTATAGTACTAAATTATTTAAGTGTATAATTATAAAACTTAAATTAGATAAATATTTTTTAGTATAAAGATATTATAATTATTTTAATAGTATTTCTCAAACTAAGAATTATAATATTAAATAAGGTAAATTGTAGTAAACCCCCACAAACTTTTAGCATTTTTTAGTAAATAGGCTCTATGAACTTTCAAAATCACACTAAACCCCTAATAAACTTTTGTAGAAAAGCCCCCGATATCTTTTAGATAAATTACTCCAAATCTCCAATAACTTTCAAAATGCCTTTTTATGCAATTTTCTCGTTCTAATTTATAGGGTTTATCTGCAAAATTTAGAAAGTTATTGAGGGTTTTCTTTGAAACAGAAAAGTCATTAGTGGTTTAGTGTGATTTTGAAAGTTTATAGGGGCTAAAAGTTACATAAGAGTTTAGTGTAATTTACCCTATTAAATAATTATAATGAGAAGTAACTACTGCAATATGTTGTAGTTGTTAAGTGTAACTATGTAGGAAACATCAAGAAGACGCTAGCAAGATTAATGCAGCTTAGTTAATTTAGAATTAAGTTAACAACTTTTAAGTTGGAGTGACATATTTAAGAGAACTTATAAATTTGGTATTTATTTAAGAATAATATTATATTTAGGTACTTATTTGAAAAAAAGGTTAGCACTAGGCAAATCATTATAAGAAAAGTATTTAATTACAATAACTACACAATAATAATTAATTTATACATTTCTTTTTAAGCAATTTTATTATATAATTTTATTTATTTACACATAGTTTAACTATTTAATAAAAAATTTAAAACTTAAAGCATGTACATTCACGTGCAAAGCACGTGCATTATACTAGTTCCCATTAAATAGTTCCCATTAAATATGGAAGCGGATTTTCAAAAGTTGAGCACATAATTATATCGTTCCAGATTGATTGTATGTAACAACTTGATTGATAGTGTCACACATCGTTGTGTATTGCAGAATTCATACTCATTAATCTCTTCAAATATATGGTTGTCCGCTAGTGTTGGTTGTTTGGCAAATTGATGTGAAATTCTAAAATAAATAATGAGATGGGTAACTTACACCAATCCCCCATGAACTTTTAGTGTTTTGCTATAAACCTCTACGAATTTTCAAAATCGCACTAAACCCTCAATAACTTTTACAGAAAAGGTCCAATATCTTTTGGTTAAATTACACTAAACCGCAAGTAAGCTTCAAAATGCCTTTTTGTGTTGTTTTTCGTTTTAATTTATGGGAGTTACCTGCAAAATATAGAAACTTATCGGGGGTTTTTGTAAAACAGAAAAGTTACTGGGGATTTAGTGCGATTTTGGAAGTTTACGGCAAAATGCTATAGTGTGATCTAGCCTATAATGAGAAAGGGAAGGGTCAAAGCAAGCAGTCTGATGATAAACAACAAACTAAGTGGATAAATGGCCGTGTGGTTAACTTTGCTAGCCAAGAAGCCTAACGTACGCCATCAATCTGAACGTTACCCCTCCAGCTATTCCAACGCTATAAAACCCTACGCGCTCAAAATTGGAAAGACCACAACGAACTTTAGAAACATTTACCTGTAGCAAGATGGCAACTGCTAGATTTCCTCAATTAGCAATAATGGCTTTTGCTCTGCTCGCAGCGCTCTCAAGCCTAAGTCTCGTAGCCTCGCATCGATTCATGGTCGGATCCTGCCGTGCCAGCGGGCATTTGCGAGGGAAGACCGGCCACTGCAACACAGAGAATGACTCTGACTGCTGCGAAGCAGGTAAGATGTACCCTCAGTACCGCTGCTCTCCTCCAATCACGAGCAACACCCGTGCGACGATGACCATCAACAGCTTTGCCAAGGGTGGTGATGGAGGAGGCCCGTCTGAGTGCGACAACAAATACCACAGCGACAGTGAAAAGGTGGTTGCATTATCAACTGGCTGGTACAATGGAGGAAGCCGATGCTTGAACTACATCAACATCAACGCTAATGGTAAGTCGGTGAGAGCCAAAGTGGTGGATGAGTGCGATTCTGTGCACGGCTGCGATGCTGATCATGACTTCCAACCGCCATGCCCCAATAATATAGTAGATGCATCCCCAGCGGTGTGGAAGGCGTTGGATATACCGGAGTCTCAAGTGGGGGACTACGACATTACCTGGTCTGATGCCTGAACAATATTTGTGCGTTTACCAATCGGTATTTGAGGCTCAAGGCTGTTTGTTATTGCGGCAACTAAACATGGTGCTAAATCTATATTGTGTGGCATTGTTATCTTTATTGTGCGGTACTGTTACTTAGTGTATGCTAGTAGTTTTCATTTCCAGGATGCATATATGGGATAAATTTTACAATCTGATGCTTGTTTCTGAAATTGACTGTGTATATGATATATATATTATAAATATGCGCCAAGCTTTCCGAGTTAATTAACTTGCAATTTCTTGATTACAATTTTCTAGTACTAGAGCCGTTTAGTGATGGGAATTAGGATTAAATTTACTTTCCAAGTTTTGATTTGTAAATCATGATTAATTCTGTTTTTTCAATAATAAAAGTATACGCATATAAGATATGGAGACCTCAAAAAGTATACAGGACTGATACATTGCAATGTCAAAAAAACACACTAAACAACTCGCTATTTTATGTTGTGTAATATAGTAGAACAAAACACGCACATTCAGCTAAGCTAAAATAGACAATATATAGGCAAAGAAAAGGACGCAAAGAAACATCGGAAATAGATAGCTGCTCACCGCTAGTGTCTCGCTCAAAAACCAAACCAACATTGAGAGTACCTTAAATGTACCTCAAAATCCATCTTACGACATCCTAATGACCTGGACCCGGGTCATGCATGTATCTCAAGACCATGCTCACTGCCTGTGACAAATCCAGGCTCGTACAAACCATGGCGTACATGAAGCTCTCAACTGCGCTCGTATATGGAGTCTTCGACATTAACTCCCTATCTTTAATGTTGAGGGATATATAATTTTATTAAAAACTTGATAATATATTAATTTTACTAATTGGTTGTAGAGAAGACTAACATATTATAATTTCATTGTGAATAAGTGCCAAAAGCCAATCTTGAATAATAAACTGAAATTTACATTCAATCATCTGAATCCTTAACCTGACATTTTTTTCTCTATAAACTTACAATCTCTCACTAAATTTTTTTTCAATCATCTGAATCCTTAACCTGACATTTTTTTCTCTATAAACTTACAATCTCTCACTAAATTTTTTTTCCTCTATTTGAAGTTTTTAATGAAACAAATAAATATTCTCTTCTCTACAATTAGGTGCTAAAGTATTAACTAAAATAAAGAACTCAAGCTTACTTCCTGAACAAAGCATTATCTAGATCTTAGTGCATTCTCCTAGAACTTTTCTAATTGGATGGTTAATATGACTTTTGAAATTGCTTAATTATCTAAAAATCACAATTTTAGAAAAAAGTTAAAAATTTTCAAAGATTATAACCTATTCGTAAAAAAGAAATTACTTCCTGACCAAAGCGTTATCTAGAGCTTCCCAATTAGATGGTTAATATGACACTTCTGAAACTGCTTGATTATAAAAAAAAAATTACAATTTTAGAGAAAACGGAAGTTAAAGTTTTCAAACTAGGTATAAACAATTTATTAAAAGAAATTACATACACGAACATTCCTGGGATGTCTGTGAAAGTTAGAGGAGGATGCATTTGAATAATATCTCAACCCAATTAACTGACAAAAAAATAATTTAAAAATGCATAAACTTGAATTAAAATATTAGCTAATTGCTAAAAGAGCTCATAGAAAAAAAAGAAAAAGCTATATACAAAATTATTTAGTGACATAAAGAAGGTAAAACATGACTAAGGTTGAGCTAGGTGCCTCAAGGTGAGTACGGTGACTTAAGAGTTGACCATGCTGGCTTGGGTGATGATGGTACCTTGAGGGTTGAGTACGATGACTCGGAATGCGTATCGGGATTCAGGTGTGTATGATATGATGATGGTACCTTGAGGGTTGAGTACGATGACTCGGAATGCGTATCGGGATTCAGGTGTGTATGATAGCTCGATAATTATCTATAAGATGACTAATGTACTTTATTGCCTCCTCTCAAAAAATTTTCATACATATATAGCCATGAATAAGGTTTCTTGGTAGATGCAAAGCACGAGAATACTAAGATACCTAGGTTGGATTTTTATTGGCTTTGATGATGCTTGAGGGAGAGCAAAAATATAATTGAATGGAAATGAGGAGATGATCACCAGGTTACAGGGAGGGAGGAAGTCTTGGCTGATGAGTTTTTTTAGGAATTGAATTTTCCTGGGTCTTTTTTGGTGGATTGATGATGTACATATGTAGGATCAGTAGTTAGTAAATAAAGTTGGTTATTTGCATAAATATCACTTGAATTATAGATATTTACAAAAGTACCCCGCAAATCTTAGTATTTGCAAAACTATCCCTCAAATCATCAACTTTGTTAAAAAAATCCTAAAATCAACAAATCATCAACTTGGTGATAAAACCTTCAGTGAGTCGACGAACTGTGTGTACAAAATCCTAGAAAGACGTGTTTCTATTTATATCAAAACCTAATCCAAAACAGACTAGGAAACCAACTTCAGCTCGTATCCGCTTTCGGTCGACTGGTGATCCTCTATCGGTCGACCGGTGCTCCTCTATCGGTCGACCGTCTACCTCCATCAGTGGACCAATAAGAGTGTATCGGTCGACCGACCAGAGCAGATTTTTCAAACCCTTTAATGTGCATAAGATCGGTTGACCAGTCTTTTACGATCGGTCGATCGACCCGAGGGCTTTCTTGTAGTGCTGATTTTGCATGTTTCCCCACATTTCTCAATGATTCCTTTGCCGTTCCTTCACTGTTTTTAACAATTCTCCACTTCGGCGAAGTGTTCCCGGAACTGAACCGACACCAACATGAGCACCAATGCGTCATCTTTCCAAATCCAGCTTTACCAATGTGGTTTCCTATGTACCCCCTCTCCCAAGGGATCAAGCCGCCTGTAGTTCATCCAAATGGTCGCAAATGACCTCAACAAGCACGAATTTGTAACAAGTTTCTACAATGATCAAACTTGTTACTCGGGATCACCTTCGTAAGCATATCCGTTGGATTATCTTTTGTGTGGACCTTCACGAGCTCCACATCCCCATCTTCAAAAACATCTCGAATGAAGTGATAACGAACATCGACACATGAAAGACATGATTCTTCACCAAATAAATAGCACTCATGCTATCACAATAAATAGTGACAGATCGCTGCGAAACACCAAGATCCTCCAAAAGTCCTTGAAGGCAAATCACCTCCTTATCAACCTCCATAATCGCCATATACTTTCCCTCCATCGTCGACAAAGCCACAGTAGACAGTAAGGTGCATCTCCAACACACCGGCGCTCGAGTCAAAGTGAACACATACCCTATCGTTGACCGGTGTTTATCCAAATCTCCAGCGTAATCTGAATCTACGTATCCAATACATAGCTACCCACTGCTAGTGTCCCACTCAAAAACCAAACCAACGTTGAGAGTACCTTGAATGTACCTCAAAATCCATCTCACGACATCCTAATGACCTGGACCTGGGTCATGCATGTATCTCAAAACCATGCTCACTACCTGTGACAAAACCGACCTCGTACAAACCATGGCGTACATCAAGCTCCCAACTGCGCTCGCATATGGAGTCTTCGACATCAGCTCTCTATCTTCAACTGTCTTCGGTGAAAGGTTAGCTGAAAGCTTCAAATGGGCTCCCAATAGTACACTAACTGGCTTCGTCTCCATACTCATATTAAACTGCTGTAGCACTTTCTTCAAATAAGCCACTTGTGTTAAACAAATTCTACCTCTATCTCTGTCTCTACCGATCTCCATCCCCAAAATGAGCTTCCCTTCACACAAATCCTTGAACTAGAACTCTTTCGAAAATTGTACCTTCAACTCATCTATCAAGGATCTGAAAATAGAAGTGACCAACATGTCATCAACATAAAGCAATAAGTAAATGTACGCACCTCCTCGCAACTTGCGATAATACACGCAAGGATCAAACTGGCTCCTAATGTACGAATAACCGAACATGAATCCATCAAATCGCCTACACTACTGTCGTGAAGATTGCTTCAATCCGTATAGTGATTTCTTCAACCTACAAACTAATTTCTGCTTCTCTGCAGCTCGAAACCCCAATAGCTGAGTCATATAGAATTCCTCATCAAGATCACCATGAAGAAATGTCGTTTGTACATCCAATTGATCCAATTCCAAACCATATTGTGTCATCAAATCTAGCAAGATCCGAATTGAAGAGTATTTCACCACCGAAGAAAAGACCTCATTGTAATCAATGCCTTCTTCCTGTGCATAGCCCTTCGCTACCAACATAGCTTTGAATCTCACCGGAGTGGCTTCAATGTCCTCCTTTTTCATATACACTATTTATAATATATTACTAAATTTTATTAATAATTATACTATAATTCAATGATCAATAAAATAAATAGAATAAATATTTAATCACATAAATAGTGTAATTATTTTAATAATATCACATAAAT